GTCTTTATTTTACAGTTAAAATAAATGTTTATCAAATAAAGTCTAATGTTACAACTAATCGTGGATCCCTTTAAAAATCCCAAACTGAATTCACTACAACTTTCAGAAACTCTGTTACTGTCCAGTGTCGCCACCAAATAAAGGTCACACTCTAATATTTGGTTGGACCTTTAGCTTTGACTACGGCACACATTCTCATTATAAAATTAAAAAACACGGAATTCAGAAAATAATTTATTAATTATTATAAACTATTTTGACAGAAAACAACAGATTACCAACAAATACGACTGCTAATTATTGTTTTGTTTGACTTATTATTTTATCCAGTATTCTACACATTGAATAAATAGTTTGTAAGTTATTTTAAAGGATAGTTCAACAGGCAGGTATGAGGGTATTTAAAAAAATGTAGCATTTCCAAACTCGGCAAAGAATTTACATTTATCTTGATTACAGTACTGATCCATGTAATTGTGATTTATTGATTTTTATCAAAGGTTTCTCAAGTCCTAGGTCATAAGGATCAAATTGTTTGTGTTTTGTAGACGATGGAGATGAGAGTATAAATGACCATGAAGATGGTGGCATCAAGGAGAACTACAGGGAGCAGGACATCTACCTTCCCATCGCCAACGTGGCTCGCATCATGAAAAATGCTGTTCCACAGACTGGAAAGGTTTGAGATGGAGGGGATGGAGTATTCAGGAGGGGTCTCGTGTTGGTGCTGAAGATACAAATATATGTATATAACCTGAGAAAAACTTCTTGGAGTTGTTTCAGTTGAAAATTAAAGGCCTTTAATGTCTTCCCACTCTCAGATTGCRAAAGATGCCAAAGAGTGTGTGCAGGAGTGCGTGAGCGAGTTCATCAGTTTCATCACATCTGAAGCCAGCGAGCGCTGCCACCAGGAGAAGAGGAAGACCATCAACGGGGAGGACATTTTGTTTGCCATGTCCACGCTGGGCTTCGACATGTACGTGGATCCGCTCAAGCTCTACCTGCAGAAGTTCAGAGAGGTAAGAGTCGAGGGAGGCCACATGGTCTACATCCCATTCATTAAAAAAAAAAAGAATTGAAACCAAAATGTCCTTTTTTTGGAAGCTGCCATGTTATTGTTTGGAGCCAGAGTCTTAGCACTAGGGATGTGGAGCTTTAATAATAATAATAATAATAATAATAATAATAATAATAAT